GCCGTTAGAAGCGCCAACCGGCCCCCCCCCCCCCCAGCTCCGGACAGCTCCCAGCTCTGCCCTTCCCTCCCGTAGGGCAGCCCACCGGCGAAAGGAGCTGGGGCAGCGCCGGACACGGCCGGGTTCTTGATCTAGAGGAGTGCTAAGTGCTTAATTATCTTTATGGCATCACTATATTCATTTTTAACTTAAAATGCAGATGGTTCAGGTGATACTGTTTTATTTTGAAGGATATTTTGCAAGATTGACTGAAGCACTCGCACTGGGAAAGTGCACAGGTGTGTAATTTCTTATGGACTTGAATAATTCAACTGCAACATCTGAAAGTATTTTGTATGCCAGTAGCCTGAATTTTCTGTTCCTGAAAGCTGGTTTTAAAGAAATTAAAGTCTTGTTTGGTTTGTTTTTTGCTGTCAGTTATGAAAGTGTTGTATTTTTCCTGTAAACTCTGTGAAATGCCTTTCTGTGATTTCCTTAGTAAACTGTTGAGACATATACAAAATCAGATTTCCAATGGTAAATCAGACTTTATTCTGTTTAAGATTTACACGCAGCACAGTGTGAGGTGTGCAATTAATGGTATACCTTTTGCTTTATGGGCTCCTTTAGCAAATAACTTTTTTTTTCTTTCCTTAGTAAACTGTTGAGACATATACAAAATCAGATTTCCAATGGTAAATCAGACTTTATTCTGTTTAAGATTTACACGCAGCACAGTGTGAGGTGTGCAATTAATGGTATACCTTTTGCTTTATGGGCTCCTTTAGCAAATAACTTTTTTTTTTTTCCTTTTTTGAAAACTCATCTGGATCTTGAGATCTGCTGGGAGATACATACTTACTTTCTTGTGGAAAATATAATTAGCTTTTAATCCTTTTTTGAAAACTGATCTGGATCTTGAGATCTGCTGGGAGATACATACTTACTTTCTTGTGGAAAACATAATTAGCTTTTAATGATCTTCTAATATGTTATACAAGCCGGATGATACTGTAGCTATTTTATATTAGCTATGTATAGTTGTTTAACATCTTGTACCTGAGGAGAGAAATTCTTATTTGGCTGTCTGATGAGTGAAGTAATTCAAATGAAAGTCCTGTAGGATCGGGAATTCTAGGAATAGTTTGGCTTGTTTTCAAAAGGACTATGAGGACATATTGAACTGCTGTGCACCTGTTTTCAGCACACAAATAAAAGAGCCAGAACAGCCTCTGAAGCAGGCACTTGAATGCTGTATCTTTCATTCTTCTCCTCTGATGTGAGTGGAAGCATAGCTATCACATAACACAAACTCATTATTCCACTATGATGCCTGACACAATACTGGCATCTTGGATATATCATGTCAGAGGAGCTGCAGGGTTTTTGAATTAGAAGATGACAAGTTACAGATTATTTAAAAAACCTGTAAAAACTATAGTTTGTGGCTTTCTCCCTGCCTGGGCATGAGGGGTCTCAGGGGAAGAAGGCATTGGGAAGTATCTCTGGATAGTTTTTCTGTGCTCATTGTCCCTCATATGTATGATACATTGCATATGTAGAAATATATCTGACTTTATGAGAACATGTGCAGTAGACACTATGCCTTGGCTTTGTACTCAAATGCTTGCTAATACCAATTTTCTCTAAGGCTTCTTGAAGATGCCTGCTGCCTGTGATTCAGTGCTCGAAGATATTGAAGATATCGTGTCAGCAGAAGATTTGAAACCACATGATCGGCAGTTTTTAAGGAAGAATGTTTTTCCAAAAGTGCGAAAACGCAATTCACAAAAAAATACTCAGCCAGATGATGATCCTCCAAGTGACAGGTAAATTATTGCATATTCCATCTCCCCAGCCCTCCCCCCTCCACCCCTTAATTTCAAGCTGGTGGATAAAATTTCCCTCCATTATGAAAATGAAAATAAAGTGTGTCTGGAATGCACAGGAAACTAAGTTTAGTTTTTTCATTAGTGTTCAAAAGAGATTTTATACATTTATAATGCACCCATAAAGGTACATTGACTCCATTCTGTCAGAAGTCTATGTACAGCTGAACTGGGGGTCTGTAGATACTTCACACTAGCACTCCATTCTCCTAAGTGTTCAGGTACTATATGTTATATAACAAGCTCTGTTTTAGTGTTTTTGACCCATTTATAATGCACCCATAAAGGTACATTGACTCCATTCTGTCAGAAGTCTATGTACAGCTGAACTGGGGGTCTGTAGATACTTCACACTAGCACTCCATTCTCGTAAGTATTCAGGTACTGTATGTTGTATAACAAGCTCTGTTTTAGTGTTTTTGACCCAAGAAAGCACATTGTATGTATGTTGTTTAGACAATAGGAAGTCTAAATACGTTACACACATGTAACACGTGTTGCACATGTCTACTTAATAATCATTAATCTTTTGTCAACAAATTTTGATTTCTAGCTAAGGGAAGTATCTTTAAAAAAAAAGAAGAGTGTGGGAGGAGAAAAAAAATACGTGGACAGGCAAAGGATTGTGTTCTAGGATGCGTGTCGTTCATGTACTGGCATCTTTAGCTCATTGGCACAGTTATTCCAGGAGTTTCAATAAGAGCTTCTTGCAGCATTTTTTTGTTAGTTCTTAAACCATTGTGTGTGCTAGCTCCATGGTGGAGATCTGCCATGCTGCATCTGTAGCCCAGAGAGGTTGGGAAATGACCTTTCAGATGTTAGTGTGGCTGGTGGCAGGCTTAAGTCAAGAATTTATAAAGATGACTTGCATGGAGGGAACTACAATGAAGGGGTGCGGTAATTCCAAAAGGTTGCAGTTTAGCTCTAACTGTTTGCTGTTGGCCTAATTTTAGTGCAGTCACTTGAAGGTCACTTGTTAATGATACAATTTTCAGAAAGTTAGTTGTTTGTGAACTTCATTGTACTGAAGCTCTTCTTATCCTACAGCTCATCTCCATTATCCTACAGTCCCTTCTCAGTTCTAAAACTCTTACGCTGTTTTGGATTTGTTACTGTTTGCATTTTGTTTTATATTTAGAGAATTGCAATTAATTGAGTATGTTCAGTGGACTTAAAGGGGAAGCTTGTTCATCTTTTAACTTGCCTTTTTAATTCATTTTTTTACTTAACAGCATCATTCCTGGTGCTCAGACACAGTCCCTTCTCAGTTCTAAAACTCTTATGCTGTTTTAGATTTGTTACTGTTTGTGTTGCTTGTTTTATATTTGGAGAATTACAATTAATCGACTATGTTCAGGGGACTTAAAGAGGAAGCTTGTTCATCTTTTACTTGCATTTTTAATTAATTTTCTTACTTAACAGCATCATTCCTGGTGCTCAGAAAATCTGGATTCGCACATGGGGATGTTCTCACAATAATTCGGATGGCGAGTACATGGCTGGACAGCTGGCTGCATATGGCTACAAAATTACAGGTAACAAAATCAGGTTTTGGGTGAATGTTCAGAGCTGTCAAGCTGTCATCAAATGTTTTTAGTCTTAATTACACTTTTTCAGATCCCCCTTTGATCTCTATCTGATTTGAAGGTGAGGAGGTAAAGTGTTTTCCTGGGATTAAGCAGAATGATTGCAAGATGAGTGCTTTCAGAATGGTTACATTTTCCTGACAGGACAACTATCTAATAGATGTCACGCAGTGCCTTTTGTGGGTATTTTGCTTGCTAAACTTAATTGAAAAGTTTTCATAAGAGTGGAAGGGAAAGATTTTAATTCTTGTCTAGAGTCTAGCCGGTTGTCTGATTGTAATTGATGGAACCCAAGTGAGAGAGAGGAAGTGTGTTGTCCCTTAGAGATGTGTGTGTTTGCTGTAGGAGCAGAGTTTAACTACATGTGTATTATCCTCTGTTTCGGGAGGGACAATCAGTATGATGGAGGTGGGATGATACAGGATTGTGTTTTGTACCCTTGAAAAAGCTGAAAATGGTGTTTCTTCTTTTCTTCAAGTACTTTAAAATAATCCCCATCATTTTGTTCCACCCCTTGCTGCTCCCCAACCCTAAACTAAAAGCCCTGAACTTGTGGCTGTGCTGGCCACATTTCATCTCCTTAATACAAATCGTATAGAAAGCTTAAAGCATATGTTAATGTCATGTTTCAATGGAGAATTATTGTCTGAGTGCTTCTGTGTAGCTTATGACTAGTCAAAAAAATAGATATATTTTATTCATTGATTCAAGTTTTCATCTGTCTTGCATTTAAACTTGCATCCTGCTTGTATTGAAAGACTGCAAAGTTGTCTTTCCTGACATTTTGCTAGAAGTATTTTATTCCCTGTTTCACAAAATGTTTCTTTCCTTGAACACCTCCTGATGTCGTTAAACAGTTACATCTAATTTTCCTCTTTTGCAGTTGAATAATTCAGTATCTAGTCTCAGATAAATACAGAAAGATCAACCGCTGAACTATTTTAGGGAACCCAGCTGATTCTTTCATTAGTAGTTCAACTCTGAAGTAGATATGCTCTTCTCACAGACAATTGGAGTGCTGGTCCAAAAAGCTTTATTTGTGACAGCTGTTTGTGTAAGACTACAAATGAGTTCTGACTTTTGCCTTGTTACAGCTTTCTTGAATTTAATTTCTCTTTACGTTAATTTCTCTAGTGCATAGTAGCCAGAAGCTACTTCTGTCTTGTCAAGGTTCAGGTGGCTGTCCTGTGCTTTTGGAATTTTATCGGGAGAAATGTAGGAAAGATGGAGTGCAGTGAATGAAGGAACTGCCTAAAATTTTTGATACCTTCTTGTCATGGTTTAACCCCAGCCGTCAACTAGAACTATGCAGCTATTCACTCTTCCCCCCTGCCTCTGCCCCCTACACCCCCGGTAGGGTAAGGAGAAGAGGGAGAAAAAGGAGGGAGGAAAAAAAACCCTCATGGCTTGAGAAAAAGACAGTATAATGGAACAGTAATAGAAGAGGAAAATAAAAAGTGGTAAAAAAATATACTAAATAAAGTGATACAATACAATTGCTCTCACCACCCCATGATTGACTGCCCAGCCCATACCAAGCAGTGATCATGGATTCCTGCCCCCTGGCCAACCTCCATTTATATACTGAGCATGATGTCAGTGGTACAGAATACAGAATCCATTGGCCAACCTGTCCTGTCTGTGCTCCCTCTCAGCTTCTATGGGAAGGTGAAAAAGTCCCTGAGTTAATAGAAATGTTACTTAGTAACAACTGAAACAGTATGTGTTATCAACATTCTTCTCATACTAAATCCAAACATCAACAGCTACTAGGAAGAAAATTAACTCTATCCCAGCTGAAACCAAGACACTTCTCTTTTTAGAAAGTCAAGTGTTCATAACTTTAGGATAGAAATAAGTCTACATCTAGAATCTGAAACTGAGGACTAAAAACTGAATAAAAGTTGCAGCAGCTGGGGCAGAAATACCTGCAGAGTGATTTTGGGAACTGCGTATGAAACTGCTAGTTTCTGGTTGTTATTAAATTGACATCTTAATTTAGTTTATTTGTGTATATGTATATACATATATTAAACAAACAAAGAAACTCCTAGTGTTTAGGGATTGGGCAGAAATTAGCCAGTGTGTTTTCTTCTTTGTGAAATTAGGTAACTTCTTTTTAAGCTGATATGTTTAAGGACCTCTGGAAATTTCATTTTTGTTCAACAGAACAAAAATACTGGCTACAAATTCTGGCTAATGTAAATTTTTACAAATCCATTTGTTGAATGTTCTCCTTTATAGGCTGCTAATGAAGCTGGAACTGAGTGCAAGTATTGCAAGTATGGTAGCTGTGTGTGAGAATATAAGGTGGTAAAGAGGACAACTGCCTTTCTGCTCAATATAGCGATGCTTCTGGTGACAAGTGCATATGAAAGTGCACTGTTGCTACTTGGATTACTCATAACGTGTCTCAGGGTTTCACACTGGGACTGATCTGTTTAATGTATTTAGTGGACCTGGAAGACAGGATGTAACGTACCTTCAGCAAGTTTGTAGACCATGCCAAACTGGGGGAAGCGGTTGATAGGCTGGAAACCAGTGCTGTGGTTCAGAGGGACCTCAATAGACTAGAAAGAGGGCTAACGGAAACCATATGACATTTAGCAAAGGCAAATGCAAAATCCTAGGGTTGGTGTAACCCCAGCTAGTGGTAAAGGTTGGGGGGTGGGTGGGCTGACTAGAAAGCAGCTTTGCAGAAAACGATTTTGGGTTTGAGGTAGACAAGAAGTTGAACATGAGTCAGCAATGCGTTCTTGCAGCACAAAAGGCAAGCTGCGTTAGCAAGAGCGTAGTCAGCAGGTCAGGTAAAGTGATCCTTTGGCTGTATGTGGAGAGACAGAGTTTGGAGTGATCCAATTTGGGTCCAGTTTCGGGCTCCCCATGGATTGAGTCCAGTGGAGGGCTGCCAAGATGGTTAGGGAGCACACAATGTGTGAAGAGAGGCTGAGTTTCTTCAGCCTTCAGAAGAGAAGGCTCCTGGAGGATCCTCGTTGCAGACAGCAATACCCAGTAGGAGGAGGGTGCAGAGGAAATGGAGTCGCTTGCTTGTCCAAGGTGTGCAGTGAGACAAAAGACAACAGAGTCTTGCTCTTGATAAAGTTGCAGTTAAAATTTTTAGCATTCAGTGCATAACTTAATGCTCATGCTGTCCATCTTTCTGTAGAGGAAATGCCAATATAGAAAGTTTCCCAACACTTTGTGAATCTCTCTTGTCAATCGCTTTTTAAGAAAGCATGTTTTGGGCTTTTTTCAGTCATCTGGAAAGTTCAGATAAAATGTCAGGAAGGAACTTAATCTCTTTTTGTCCTATACAGCAAAGTAGTTAGTAGGTATTGCTTAACATAATCCGAATTTCAAACATTTCTTGAAATTAAACTTAATATTGTTTACAGTATGCCAAAAATAGCAAACAAATGTTTTGCAAGAGCTGATTTGTCAGTGCCTCTGTTGCTAGAATTTGTTAGTTTAATGTAAAACTTTTATAAAATTGAGGAAAATATAGAAATATTCACTAAGGTAAAAGGTAATCTGTTGTCACAGCATCTTTGACAGCTATTACTTAAAGAAAAGTGTGTTAGCCTGTTTCCTACATGTTCCTAAGCTTTTGAGTCAACAACACTTATTGAAGAGATGCTGGAATTAAGTTCTGGTCCTAGGAGTTAAAATGTGACCTTGCGGTTCTTGCTCCATTATGAGGCAAATGGTCAAGCACTGTTTCTAGTGTCTTCCATTAATTGCAAGATTGAAAAAAAAAAAATGAAAGGAAGAAGAATGGCATCAGACAGGCTTTTATTGCTAACTAGAAATTGTAACAATGCAACCTGCCTTTGATTGAAAAAAAGATTGAAAAAAAAAAATGAAAGGAAGAAAAATGGCATCAGACAGGCTTTTATTGCTAACTAGAAATTGTAACAATGCAACCTGCCTTTTAAGTTGACTTAGCCAAAACAAAACATGGATATAATGATACCTTCTAATTATAGAAATAATCTTTATATGACTTGTTGCAAAAATTTTATTCCAATGCTATTCCTTATCCTGGTTTATTGCATGGATTCTACCCTGGTTTTGATTTGAACTCTGTTCAGGTGATGCAGAAGTCTGTTTGTTTCCCCCCCGCCAGCCCTGCGTTTCATTTATTTAGAAAGTATTCTTTCTGTACAGGCACCTGTTGTTGTTTTTAGGAGTGGCTATATCCAAAGGTGAAAACTGATGGCTTTGCTATGTTTTTTCACAGCAAAGGCTACCTTTGTCTAGGGAGAGAGAGTGCAGTGTGAATTGGCAATGTACAGTTATTGCAATAGCAGCAATGCTGATTACAAATCAGGAACTGTATCAGCTTAAAAAAAAAAAAGCAAAGGGAAACCAGCAGAAGAGCTTGAACCTATTTTTGTATTTGCTTTTAGAACGTGAAGGTGGAGGCAGTATTCTGAACAAATCTTGCATACCATCGTGTGGGAACACAAAGCTCCTTTGTTAGTCTGAGCCACACAGAAACGTGTGGACCAGCTGCTATCAGTGTAGGGCTGACCATGGTACTTCATGTTCTGAAAACAGTACAGCTGATGGAGGCTTTACTGGTTCGAAAACTGGTTTTGGTTTCTTGGCAGCATGACTTGCTATATAGTTTAGATATGCCTGCAGACCTACTAGGGTGCTCCCTTTGAGATACACCCTGGTGGAAGAAACTCGTGTGGTACAGACAAATAATTCTTACTGTGAAAAATAAGAAGTGGGCGAGCTGGGAGTGCTCAAAATACTGTGAGCCAGATGTTTGCTTGGGAAGGGAATTCAGTACATGTGCCGCTTAACCGCACCTTCCCTCTGAAAAATAGAGCCGAGCATGTATAGTCAGAAGGAACTGACTTGTGAAGTGGGTAGTTGTACTAGCATTCATTGGCGTCTATAGGTTTCTGGTTAGGTTTCTGGTTGGGTGGAATGAATGG